CAGATGGTCTTGTAGAATTGCTGTTGCTATTTTAATTCTAACAGCAACTTACTGCCTCTGCATTCTCTAGCCTCAAAATTGCCTCTGAAATCCCTACCAATGTCTCCTGGTGGTAGATGGAGCAGGCATACAAAAAAGAAACATTGCCTCCATAAAAAGCAGTAACTTTAGACCCTGCTAATTAGGTATAGGAGGATCTATACTTTTAGCCAGCATATATTCCTCTCTCCCTCACAGTCAGTGAACTCGATTGCCCAACACCACCCTAAGAATATGTGCAGCGTGATAGTGAATTGTGGCATCATGAATGCACAGCAGTGGGGCAGGCTACCCTGTGTTGACAGGTACACACTTAGTGACCCCTTCATTTACATGCAGTAAAGACAGTTTAATACTATTTCCTTTGTTTGATATAACACCATTACACATGGACACTATTTGCTTTTATCTATAAGTCCACTTGTTATTAATTGACAATATTTTAACTTCACCAGTTCAGTGAGAAAACCCAAAATGGGCTTTCATAGCCCCACTGAAAATTTATAATGATACAACAGCACTACCAAAGAAAGTGGCTTTAATATCTTGATGAAGAAGAGCTCCACTAAATAGCATCAACAAACAGAGTGCATTAGAAAAAAAACCAAGCAAGATAACCTGTAGCTTTAATTTTACAATACAGGGTGGACAATAATGAATTTTTTTTAAAACTGGATTTCCATTTAAATTGAAATCTCATTTAAGTTAAATACAACTTTATAATCTGTTACTATTATCTACAAAAATAATTAAAATTACAAAACGTATCAGCCAGGACATGTTTGTGGCCAGAGTTTTAAAGAAAGTTAAACCATTGAACTAGAGGAAGTCAATGGCTAAGCATATGGAAACCAACTTTTAACAGTCATTTTGTAGGTGCAGAAAGTTATTTTCCTAATTTCAGCTTACTTCATTAGTTCAGCTCAATGACAAGTCCATTAAAATTTAAGAAACCGACTAGTAGCTGAATTATAAAACCTTTATTTTCCTTTTCCAACCTATGAACAAAAACTAAGTGTGAGAGGAGATTTATAGTTCTGAAATCCTGAAGGACATAGTAAAGAAATACAGGTCAATTCACTAGCTACAGATAATTTTTAGTTTAATACATCAGTTAAGTTTTAAAAGAAAAAAAATATTTTGACATTGTCTTATTCTCATGTAGCCAACACATTTAAGATCACAATTTTCTAACGTAACACAAAATGTAAAGGTGAAGAATGAAAGAATAAATGCACACTAAGATTAAGCTGTTAAATAAAAGTGCATAAACAGTCTATCCCAGTATTTCTCAATTTTATTTGTCCATGGAACCTTAAAAAAAAAAAAAAAAAACCACACACACACACACACACCGGGGGGAAATGGTTGACAAAAGACCGGTTCTGGGAAGGAGGGAGTTATCGGGTTCTTGCGGAACCCTTACTTTCACTTTGGAACCTCAGGGTGCCGCAGAGCACTATTTGGGAAACACTGGTCTATCCTCTTGGCTAACAAGAAGTAATATAAATTTTAATGTAAAGGCTAACCCAATTTTTCTTTAGAAAAATATGTACAAATGCAAAACCAGATTCAAAATGATTATTTAAATCAACATTTCCAGCTTGCTGATCTACCTCAAATCCACCCTATTAAACTGATTTAATAAATAAAAATCCAAAGTAAGACATCTCAGTCCTGCTCATATCCGAGGTAATGGCAGAGACAGATTTCAATAGGAGGTTCACCTATGGACCACTGTTCTTTGGTTTCGCTCAACTGACTTAACAAAATATTTAGAGGGACTACACATACATATTGCCAACATTCTAGTATATGCATTGCATTCATTTTTAATTACAGATGTCGCCTCAATTTGTTCTAATGAAGTTAGTTGGAGCAATAAAGTAAGTTATACAATGCCTGTACCAGAAATACTTCCACAAATGCCACCAGTAAATGCCAAGAGTTAGGAAAAACAACTACTCATTCAAATTCCTCCACATAGCAGTGGAATACAGTAGCATATGTAGGAGTTGTGTCAAAGATGGAGAGCAGAAGTGAGGGATCATTAGCAGTGTCCCCTCTAATTTTTTCCATCTATGTGCAGAATAAATTTTGTTATGTATATTGAGGTTTGTGTGGATGTGCACCACCAATAGAAACACATGCTACTGGCTATGGGCACTCTGCTTATCAGCTGGGTGTCATTTGAATCTCTCCAGGAGCTGCCCAAGCACTCCTGTTTAGAGGAAACACCGGTCATTGGACAAACTGTGGCCAGGTCTACGCTAGAAAGTTAGGCTGACCTAGTTATGTCACTCAAATATGAAAAATTTGCACCCCTGTGTAACAGTTAAGCCAACCACAACTCTAGGTTGACAGAAGAATTCTACCATTGATCCAGCTACTACCTGTCTTGGGGAGATGGATTATCTACAGCAACAGGAGAACCTTCCTTTGCTGTGGTTAGTGTCTACACTGAAGTAGTACAGTGGCCCTGCTATAGCAATGTAAATGTAAATATAGATCTAGTCTTATAGTCAAAATGTGGCATCCTAGAAATATAGGACATGCATGGAAAATTCAACAATTGTATATTAAGTTTTAAATCCTGCATACTCCAAATTCTCAGGAAAAAATCCTGTGTGTCTTATTTAAAGTATGCCAACTTGCAAGCAAATTGGTTACTTCACTCAGCAAGTTGGGTGGGGAGGGTATACTTCTATTTTAAGCCCTAAGGGTTTGTCTTGGTGCTTGTTAATTTGACATCTGAATGCCTCACTATTAACTATGGAGTACAGTTGATATACAGCAGAGTGAACATCACTGGCAACACTATAGTTTGCTTGATACCGTTGTAAAGAACAGAATTGCCAGACACGCAGATGAACATAATTTGATGGGGGGGAAAATCAACATGGTTTCTGTAAAGGGAAATCATTCCTCAGTCTACTAGAATGCTTTGAGGAGGTCAACAAACATGTGGACAAGGGGATCCAGTGGATACAGTGTACTTAGATTTTCAGAAAGCCTTGACAAGGCTCACAAAAGACTCTTAAGCAAGTAAGCTGTCATTGGATTAGAGGGAAGGTCCTTTCATGGACAGATAACTGGTTAAAAGATAGGAAACAAAAGGCAAGAGTAAATGGTGGGTTTTCAGAATGGAGAGAGGTAACTAGTGGTGTCTCCCAGGAGTCTGTACTGGGACCAATCCTACTCAACATATTCATAAATTATCTGGAGAATGGGGTAAACACTGAGATGGCAAAATATGCAGATGATACTCAGCTGCTCAAGACAGTTAAGTCCAAAGCAGATTGTGAAGAGCTTCAAAAGGATCTCTCAAAAACAGGTCACTAGGCAACAACATGGCAGACGAATATTAATGTTGATAAATGCAAAGTAATGCATATTGGAAAACAATCCCAACTCTATATCTAGGTATAAAAGTGATGGGGACTAAATTAGCTATTACAATTCAAGAGAGAGATCTTAAGAGTCACTGCACATAGTTATCTGAAAACATCCACTCAATGTGCTCGCAGCAGCCAAAAAAGCCAAACAATGTTAGGAATCATTTTGAAAGGGATAGAATAAGACAGAGAACATTTTATTGCCTCTGTATAAATCCATGGAATGCCCACATAGTGAATATTGTGTGCAGATGCAGTCCCTTCATCTCAAAAAAGAAATCTTGGCATTAGAAAAAGGTCAGAAAAGGTAAACAAAAATGATTAGGGGTTTGGAATGACTGTCATAAGAGGAGACATTAAAAATATATAGAAAAAAAACTTTAAACAATCTTTCTAAAAACGTACCAAAAGATTATTTAAAAAAAATTAAGTGTTCAGCTAATTTAGAAGAAAGATTGGATGGCTAGCACCATTCACCAAATGAAATTAATAGGTAGCAGGTTTAAAACAAACAAAAGGAAGAATTTCTTCACACAATGCACAGTCAACCTGTGGAACTCTTTGCCAGAGGACACTGTGAAGACCAGGACTTCAACAGGTTTTCAGAAAAAGAACTAGATAAATACATGGAGGATAGGTCTATTGGTAGCTATTATGGTGTCCCTAGCTTCTGTCAGAAGCTGGGAATGGGCAACAGGGGATCGATCACCTGTTCTATTTATTCCCTCTGGGGCACCTGTCATTGGCCACAGTCAGAAGCAGGGATGTAAAATTTTGATTAATTAGCTAATTGAATAGTCGATGCAATTTGCATCGACTATTCGATTAGTTGATAAGGGCACCTCTGCCTTTGAAGTGTTGCCACACTTCCCCAGAGCTGTTGCTACACTTCAGTGTGAAAGCAATGGGGCCAGCAGGAGCCTCAAGCAGTCCCCCAGTATCCCTGTGCCGTTTCAAAGTGGCAGCACTGCCTGGGGTTAGCAGGAGAGTCCCCAACTGACCCCGGGCTCCACACGGCACTGCCACTTTGAACCGTTGTGTGCAGTCCGGGGCTAGCTGGGGACCCAGGCTGCACACGGCAATTCAAAGTGGCAGCACCGCGTGGAGCTCAGCATTAGCTCAGGAACTTTGAAGCATTCCCTTGTCTCCTCCCCCCTTACTGCCTCTTTTTTTTAATAGAGGCAGCAAGGGGGAAGAGGAGTGACTAGTAGTGTGTCAACTATACGATAAGCATTTGCTTATCGGACAGTTGACTAGTCAACTAGTCATTAACATCCCTAGTCAGAAGACAGGATACTGAGGTAGATGGACCTTTGGTCTGATCCAATGTAGTCTCTCTTATGCTTCTTGCCATGATGAGAAAAACCACTGTTTATTCTTACTCTGTTTCCACATTACAGATCTCAAGCTCTGTACTTCCAAAACAATTAAAAGTCTCTCAAGAGTTTGTGTCTGAAATCTTTTGAAAACTTCGGAATAGCATTTCCACTGCTTTACTTATATCCACTATGTGGTTAAATCTGCGAAATAATTGCTACAAGTTAAAGACATGCAGTTTATCCTTACCGCTCGTGTAGAGTTCTGCCCAATTTCATCCAAGTCCAAAAACATGTCTAAATCGCATCCTAATTTGCCAAAGGTGTTCACTGATGAGCCAAATGGCTTCACTGTGCTCTCTGGAAAATATGCACAAGCAATATCTTGAATCAGAGAACAGACTAGAAATCGGAGCTTGATGTTCTCCTCTGTTAGCTGATACTCATCCATTAGGGTATATAACTGATTGCTTACCTATTTAAGAAAAACAAAACAAACAAACATCAAAATATATGAGTTCCATTTTCTTATTTGTGTTTGCTTAGCTCCCAGTGTTTCTGGCCTAATTTAATATCCCCTCAGAGGCTATTTCTTCAACTCCTTAAAATGAATGCCAGTGATTTGTCACATATGCTCTTCTAGACGTCAACAAAATAAGATGCTCTAGAGATTTGGACACCAGTTCCTTCATTTCAGAAACCATTGTCAACACAGCTATAGAAATTGAGGATTCTTCCTTATGGAGCAGCAAAATAAAATACAAAGGCAAAAGAAGACAATAGACTCAAATGAAAACATTAATACTATTGGCCAGGATATCCAGCATTTTGATTCTCTCAGAGAGATCAAAGTATTCACCATAAATGTTACAAATGCCTCCTGGTTTCCCTAATTTCCAGGCTATTCAACCTACCACTGGGGGGTTGATCTAGTAGTTCTAGCCCACAGTACCTCTCCTACACAGCTACAATTTGGTAATGGCTTAAAAAAAAGTCTTTTAGTTTTGAAGAAGAGATGGGATGCGCCCCTCACCTCCACAGATCCCTTCATCCTATCAAGCCATCCAATCCATTACTGGTGCAATTTCCTACTGGAGTAGAGTGCCCCCACTTCTGTTCAGTCATCTGCAGTGGGTGCCATTATCTCTGAAAGGTATCCCAAATATTATTGCACTGACAGCAGTAGTGCATCAAAGAAGGTGCTTTGACAATCTGTACAGAGTTCTGGAGTATATATGACATTCACAGGTAAATAAAAGGAGAGCAAAGAAAGGTAGAGGGGATACATTCCTCAGCTGGAGAACACCACTGGTAGTATTCCATAATACTCTCAGACATGAACATTGCACGTGATATCCTACTTAGCTTATGTTTCAGAGGTGTAGCTGTGTTAATCTGTAGCTGAAAAAACTTAAAACAGAACAAATAGTCCTGCAGCCCTTAGAAAATAACAAAAAATGCAGATGGTATCATGCTACTATCTGCATTTTTTGTTAGTCTCTAATGTGCTGCAGGACTATTTTCTGTTTAAGTTTTTACTTGGCTTATGGTTAAGACTTTCCTCTCTGCATCTCTCTGAGCATACTCTCTGCTCACTACCATTCAAGAACCTAATCACTATACATGAATCAAAGTATGCCGCCATTAGGTAAGATTACAATATTAGTTGCAGCATTGTATATCCAAAGTAACCCAGTACAAGTGAATGGTGTTAGGCTGGATTTACACTCTTACACCAGTATAAATCCAAATTAACTCCATTGGGCTGCATGCATTCCTGGGATAGGATGGTACAAAATGCTTAATCAGGAATTCTGCAGCTACTAGAGTAGGAACATTTCCCCTCTCAACAATTTTCCTCTGTGGTGTCTAACAGTCATTCTTGACTTGATCAGTACATATATGTATTTTAGGTTTTTTAATGAATATAAGAGGTATATTTTACTTATAGCCTGGGAACCTGGTCCCAAATTATAACACTCCAAGAGCTCTTACTCCTATTAACTTCAACAAAAGCTTTATTTAGAGTAATAAATAGAGAACAAAGAAACTAGCTCTGGACTGAAGACTAAAAAAAAGTATTAATGTACCATAAGATTTCTGAAAATAATTTTTTTCTAAAAAATGCAGTGAAATTGCACAAGCCTCCTATGTTTCTGTCTTAAGCAGATATATGTGATTACTCAGAGATTTCACTTCAAGGCATTAGCTCTACTCTCTCAGCAGCTAACTTAACATATACCTCCCTCTCAAACCTTTCATCTCTTTCCACCCATGTTTTCTCAATTACTTTTAAAGAAATATCAAGTCTTTGTTGTTTTTGTTGATGGATTCAGATATAGATTCGAAAATCTCAAACCTCAAACGAAGCCATGGGAATAGTGGGTAAAAAAATTAGTTTGCTGAAGAGTCAACTTTTTAACACAACTTAGTTAACTAAAATGATTTGCAAGACTGAAGAGAAGCAGACCATCTCATTCAAAGGTGGCTTTCATACAAAATAATGGTCATGGCAATTAAAGTAACCACTAAACATATTTCTTTCAATTTATGAAATGCATTTATCAAAGGCAATCCTCTGATAGCACAGATAAATATTTCTAAACAGTAGAATAAACCTGTAAAATCCTACAAGAATCTTTAGATAATTACACATTTCCTTATTCAAAACTTTTTAAAAAAAAGTAATCATAAGAGATCTACAGCCATAGACTTACGCTGTCAGCACTACAAAGCTTCTGAATAAGCTCACTGACTAGAATGGTGGCTTGCTTATGACAGTGAACTGGTGCCTGATCAGCAGCTTGAGTTGATAGGTTTTTCAATGTTAAAGTAAAAACTCTAGATTTAAATGGAACAGCACATTCCTCTTCAATGCCTGGCATTCGGGTAACATCCTGTAGTGAAGTTATGCTGTCTTTTTCAGAAAATTCTACCACAGCATAGGTACCCTAAAAGCATTAAAAAGCAAGAATATCTGGTAAATGAGAGGTACAAGTTATAAACAATTACACTGATATTACTGTTGCAACAGTCTTCAAAACTGTCAGGATACAATACAATTTTTAGTGTATGCATTTCACACTAATTCACACCTCATTATCTTTATACTCTTTCACAAGCTGTCAAAAAGAGAATGAAAGATGTATACTACCATTTGGCACAATGAACACATTTCTGCATTAGAAAGTAATCAAATTAATGAAAATACTTATTTCCACTACTGCTAGATTTGGGAAGTGAATGGAGTGCAAATGAGTATGTTCTGCTGTTAGAGAAGCAGACTAAGAGGTATGAAAGTTATTGATAGAGCTTTAGCTCAAAAACTTATCTGCAACTCATTTTTGGTGTCACTATTCAAACTAAAAGAAACACATCTTGACTTAAAAATATAGAAGTTTAAATAAAAATCCTTGAGTTCTTATCTTGTAAAATTTAACAAACATGAAAAAAAAGATGCACAAGTAATTTGTCCAAGAAACATGCCCAACAAAAACAAATCTCTTGGAACCCAGACACTAACATTTTGTTCTGCCTAAATTCAGTTTATAGTAAAAAATTGTATTGATAACACACCAAGTACATACATAGCTTTCATAAAAGTAGTGACTGTTAATTTTTCCATGATGGGACAAATACTTCAGAAATTTTCTCTCATCTATCTTGGCTGGGCAGTTAATTAAAACAGTCCGCTGTGCTTGCTCTAGCCTTTCCGCTTGCACCTCAGGAAATGTTTTCTTTTGGGTACTGACTTTAGAATCTGTGAGAAAGGGAAGAAAAAAATCAGCATATAAATGTAGGTTTTATACAGATTTTGGTAGCTTGATGTTAAGGAACCTACAGAACACAATCTTAATGAACAAAGCTGGTAATGTGCAATCCCCCAAAAGAGAGTTTCTCCCCCTTGCAACCAATTTCTCTTCACTTCTCTACTGGTTCACTCAGCAGTCAGTAACCTAGGACATGTGGTCCATCAGGGTAATCCACTGATGGACTGCCATTTTGTTTATGTTAACTATCTACAGATGTGGTCCCCCGTAGTGCCCAGTGGATGCAGTTTGTTGTTCCCACCATTTCCTGCAACACTCATTGGCTGGGAATGGCAAACTATGGCCACTGGAAGCTGCAGAGCACTGTGTCTGCAGACGGTTAAACAAAGTGTCTGTTGGCCCATCAGCTGACTACCCTGATGGACCAAGTCCCAAAGACTGCAGATCTTTGGTTTTACTTGTTCACCTGTAGTTTTTCCTTCTCCCATGTGTGCAATCCCAAGAAGTTTAAACTGGTGCTCTTTTCAGCATTCAATATTTTCCCACTAGCACTGACAAGAGCGACAGTGAAACTGGAAACAAACCCACACCCACAAAACAAACAAAAACCAGAGGAGTGCTATTTAAAAGCAAAAGTGCAATTCTTCCACAATTTTACTAAAATCAAAAAAGGGGAAAAACCAACTAATAGTGTATTCATTCCCATGCCTGTTACGCTGACATTAATGACTAGCTTTCTATTTCTGATGTAAAACACATCAATTTAAACTGAAACAGACAAAGCATATTACATTGAAAGCAACAGTAATACAAAATGCACATCAGGTAATGACACATTCTACATTATTTCTTGATATAGAACTCTAAACAGTATACCCAACGTAATTGGGTTTGGAAACCCATGCCAAGTCTCCCTTAATACTGTGCATTACATCTTAATGCAGTTGTTGTATCTCACTGTCTCTGATGCACCGAAAGTACTTCCCTCCTCTCTGTTTTTCCCTTTTGTCTTGTTCTTTCAGTTTTGCTTTCTGCTTTTCATTGTTCCCTTCTCCCCGTAGATTTTCTTTCATTTCGCAACTACTTTATGCTTATTTTCCCCCCTCCCACTTTTTTATCTGTTACAGGTTCTGTCACCCTAGTCCAAAAGCTGACACTAGAGAATGCTGCTCCTTGCATTGCAGGCAACTGTGCTCTTTAGTATCACTTGAGGCAGAGCTGGTGGCAGAGAAAACAGAAATAAAGAGGATGGGTTGCTGCCATTATCTATAGCATTGCAGCTGCATTTCTGAACAAATTATTGGGTTTACATAGTAGCAAAGTTGTACTGAACTTCAACAGTAACCATTCATATATGTTGTGCAAACACGTGACAAATGTGAACACTGTCCATTCTGAGAGATGCTGGGCTAACGTGATTCCGAGTAGAGAGTTTTGTTAGCTTATTTTTAACATCTAAAATAATCTCTTGAGAATCTCACTGATTTTGTAAATTCAGGTTTCAATGGTTCCTGAGCTATTTTCTATAAAGAATCTTACTGATTTTTTTTCAGGCTTTTGTACTGAACTTTAACCCCCACCTCTCAAGTTCAACTATTATTTCTTAATGAGGAAAACAAGTTTATTTCGAAAAAAAAGTGTATTTCAATTTTTAAAATGTCATTTCTTAATACAGGTTAAACCTCTCTAATTCAGCACCCTTGGGATCTATTCCATGCTGGACCAGGAGAGGTCAATATTGTCTAGCAGCATTACCAACACTTCCACAGATTATTGGGATCTTAGAAGCCATTTAGGGGTAAATTAAGAGTTAAATAACAGCACTGACCACTGAAAGCCAGAACTAGTGGCTGTAAACAAACTTTATGGGACCATGTGAAACTTGACCACACCTATAAGTGGATACCTGGCTAACAAAAATGATGCTGGACCACAGATGTTGCCAAACTAGAGTGTGCTGAATAAGAGAGGTTCAACCTGTATGAATGACCATTAAAGGGAAAAAAAACAAGATAAAACATCTTAAAATGGGGTCCTTCTAGTTTGCAAGGATTAGATTTAGATATTTTAACTTACATGGTATGCAAGACAAAACCTATTAAAATATAAGCAGATACAGTTTAAATATTTAGACGTTGACTGAAACAGAGCACTGACATTTCCAACAAGTACAGTAACACAAATGATAATGCACGGCCTTTAAAATGCAGCAAAAGAGGTTTAAATTGGACATCAGGGATATGAAAGATTAACCGGTTAAGCTGAGAGGCATGGAGCAGCTCCGCACCCACTGCAAGCAGGGGGCTGCTCCAGCCCAGCTTGGTTCACCAAGCTGAGGGTGGGATTTGTTCCAGTCTGACGGGAAGGAGCAGCTCCCCATGTATGGCTCAGTGCGGTGAGCTCAGCCCAACCAGCCCCCAGCAGGCTTGGCCCAGCTTGCCCACACCAGCATGCACCACAGCAGGGCCAGCTAGATCCTGGTTAAACATAACTGGTTACCCAGGATTTTACATTCCTATAAAGTATGGTCTACACATGGTGCCTGGTCTGCCATGAGTATATAGGAGACTAGAGTTGAGGTTCCTCCCAGTCCTATTATTAGTTGAATGATCTTCAGAACTAGACACTTAGTCCTGCATCTTCACTAGACACATTATCTCCCTCCTCTTTTGACAGAAAAGGGATGGTTATTCTCCCTTGATGTTAATGATTCAGATTAAGATACAGGCAGTCCCCGGGTTACGTACAAGATAGGGACTGTAGGTTTGTTCTTAAGTTGAATCTGTATGTAAGTCGGAACTGGCGTCCAGATTCAGCCGTTGCTGAAACTGACCGCCAGTTCTTACTTACATACAGATGCAACTTAAGAACCCCAAGCGTCCCCAAGTCAGCTGCTGCTGAAACTGATCAGCGGCTGATTCCAGGAAGCCTGGGACAGAGCAACTCTGCCTCGGGCTTCCTGTAGTGAGCGCTGGTCAGTTTCAGCAGCGGCTGACTTGGGGACGCCTGGGGCAGAGCAGCTGGGGTGCTGCTGGGTTGCTCCAGTAGCACCGCTCCTCGGCGCTACTGGA